TCTATATTTTTTTTTTTTTGCTGTTTGTTCTAAAGTTATTTTCATTAATTTTCTCTTGACTTTATTTCATATTAAAAATGAATGCATACAACAAAATTCATCTTTCATCACACATAACTGTTGTACCATTACAATTCTCTTCGTGTTCCCTGTTGAATAAAAATCACTCTTCTTCCGGATGAGTTTTCAACTGCATCCACTCTAATTGTTCCTTAATTCCATGGAATCTCTTCTCTTCACAGTGCAGCTGGTGTTATCTTTTTGGAAAAAAAAAATCTTAACTATGTCATCTTCCTGTTTATGGCAACTTAATGGTTTCCTGTATTGCTTTTAGGATAAAATGAAGCTTCTAACATAATCTTCCAAGTGGCCAACTTATCCCTTTCCATATTTCCAGCCAGTTTTATCCCAGCACTATGTCTCCCATTCTCTGTTACAATCACATAGGCTCTTTCTAGCACCTTGTCCTTTCTGTGTCCTTCCAGAATCTGGTCCCTCTGTACTGTAAGTTCCTTCTGCCTAAAATGTTTTTCTCTTCCTTCCTCATTGAAGTAAACCTATTCATCCTCCTGATCTTGGCTCAGCCATCACTCACAAATTGTAGTGTGTGATCTCACATGTTCAACTGTCTTAATATCTTGCCCCTCTTAGCTTTAACAACTGATGGTCACAATTTTATATGAAATCATATAATTATTTAATCCATGCTCACTTCTCCTAGTCCCATAAAAACTCCACTAATGCAAGGCCTTTGTCTAAATTTACTCACTTCCTTATACTCAAAATAGGCATCTTATAGGTACTCTATAAATATGTTTTCATTGAGAATGTAAATTTCCTTGAGGTCTGTCAAGACAGACACAAGGCCTTCATATATTATTTCTTGCAATATATATAATGCATCATATTCATCTATAACAGCATAAAAGGAGAGATTTTGCAGTGAGTAAAATCTAATCTTGTCTTTTCTTGATTTTACTTACAATCTGAATAAAGAAGTTTTGATGATGAATATGAATGGAATTCCATAATAAGAAATTGTTCTCATATTATACATTAAGAAATATAATTCCTATTTTCTTTAATATCATTTGCTTCCTGTTCATTAGCATTAATATAGATAATGTATACTAATACCCGCAAATTCAATATAACCAAGCCTTGTGTGTATCTGTTTTTTATTAATTTATTAGCATGGATGCTATTAAATATTACATTTCCTCTAATACAAGCAATATTATCTCTAAAAGAATGTTATACTCTCGTGGAATTCCCATTGAAAAAATATCCTACGGTAAGTTCATTTAAATCTACCAATATTATCTGCTGTTTTGGTGGAAGTATTTTGAAATGTTGAATAATTAATGGCAATACAAAATTATTTTAGTTGTTAGATTATTAGTATAAAATAATGACGTTGTGAGAGGTGAACCCTACAAGAGAAGATGAGATTTTACACATCACCCACTTAGGTCTCTAACCCAATGCTTATCCAGCCAAGATGTCACATGCATGTAGCTGATTCAGTTCAGGCAGTCACCTGTCAACACTGTGTTATGATTAGAGAGAGCCATAAAAGATTATCCAGAGCAAGTGTGATGCCAAATAATGAAATTATAAAACACTAAAATCAGAATTTTAGGTGAAATACATGTAAAAGGTTTCAAGTGCAATTGGATTATTGCATATATAGGAAGGAATGGAAGTTTGAGACAATGTCATTTACCTAAAACCACAAACCCGACTGATGGCACAACCAGGGCTGAAAGCTAGAAATCTTAGGGCAAACAAATTTCCATGTCCTTACCACCTTAGCTCTGTACAATTCTCTAGGAAAAAATAATCTAAACAGTAATCTCAATGTCCAGATTACTTTAATAACTGGAATCTAAAAACACTTTTACAACCACAAGTAACATGAGCTATATCTTATTAGCTGGCAAATAATGAACTAATAACCATTACCCTCTGTTCACTTAGTATTCTTTAAATGTCTAAAACATACACATGGAACACTGACACAAACTATGCTAAATAGTAATGGTTCTATATCTCTTTCCTGCCAACATAAGAATTTTCATAATTATTTCCATTTATAAAATCCTGGCAATTCTTTGCAGAAATGGATATTGACACAGAGACTTTGGTATGATGCTATACCAGCGGTATGTTCATAAGAAACAGCTCTCTAATAAAATAAAATTTAAAAATAATTCTGAATTGTGGAATTTTCTAATTACTGTATTATACATACTTCCACCCTGTCCAATTTCAAGCTCCAGGTTTGCAATAAAATATCTGAATATTTAACAATTGGTTCTAATGTCCTAGCTACAAACAGCCTCAGCACATTATTAATGCTACAAGGAAACCTAGACAAAATAAAGGTCAATCCACTCACAATGAGAGAGAAACAGAAAAGAAGCAGGTGACACCTCAAGGTCACAGACCATCTGAGCTCATTTTAATACCTAAAATTCTGCCTTAACTGTTCTGTTAGTGAGATGAAATGTTATGCATTAGAAAAAGTTAGGGGCCCTCCTAGGACTGGAGACTAAGGCTTCTCAGACACCAGCAATGTTAGTACCGCCACTGAGCCTGTTGGAAATGCATGCTCTTGGGCTCCACTCTACTGTATCTTAACTTCTCTTTTTAAAATTTCTTTTTCCTTCTTTCCTTCTCTCTCTTTTTCTGTCTCTCTCTGTGTCTCTCTCCATCCCTCTCTCTGTGTCTCTGTCTCTGTTTCTTTCTGTTTGTTGTACTAGGAATTAAACTCAAGTCCTTTGTACTGAACAACGTCCATAAGCTGCACCTCTCTCCACCTTTCTAAGGGAACAGGGTCTTGCTAAATCACTAAAGGGTCCAGGTTGGTCTCAAACTTACCACCTTCCCAAATTAGCCTTCTAAAACGTCAAGTTTACAGGCATGTGCCACCACACCCAGTTTAATCAGAATCTCTGGGCCCAGAAATCTGCTTCTCAGAAGGTCTGTAAATGTTGCAGAACAAACAGGAAGAATCTTTCCTCAATGAGCACAAACAATTTTGATGAATGAGATTCAAGTATGAATTTAGAGTTGTTACATATCAATATCTACGGAAGGAGAAATGTCATCAAAACTTCTATCATAAACTCTGAAACTTTATAGTTACAAAGACTTTACCACTCAAAATATTACAGACTTTTTATAATAAAAACTGATTTATCTTCCAATTCTCAATTCCAATATTAAAAGACCAAATCCTAACATCCATTCATACGCCCTAACATCGGTGTATTTAATATTTCTTTTTATTTCTATAGCATTTTTTATTTAAAGAAAGATTAAACAAAACAGAAAATAGGTAGAAATAGTACATACATTCAGAGAAAAAAAAAGTAAGAAATCACTAGTTGATGCTGTTGTTCTACAAATAGTTGTTCAAGGTACAAAAATGGAAGATGTAAAGTGGGAATTCAAACAGAGAGACTGCAAAAAGTTCTAATTAATTGTCCAACAAAAACTTAATATTTCTTTATAAAAACAAAATTTAGGGGCTGGGAATTTAGCTCAGAGGCATAAGTGCCTGCCTAGCAAGCACAAGGTCATGAGTTCAACACCCAGTACAAAAAAAAAAAAAAAAAAAAAATTTCTCTTTCAAAGTTGTGCCTTACTTCTTTTACAAATCAAGGTTGGAGGAAATGTTCAATTAGAAAAGGGATCACAGGACAGGGAGGGGACAGAAGAAAAAAGGGAAAAGAAACAAAAGAACAGAGGGAAAAAGGAAACAAATCTTTTGGAAGAGGCATGGAGAGAAAGAAGAATCAAGATATATTAAGAAGAAGTACAAATTCCTATGACGAATGTAAAAGTGTATCAAAACTATACCCATGAAGTTAATTTTTTAAAATTAAAGAAATGTAACTGTCAACACCTAAAGCCATCTACTGTATTATCTGTTGGTCATGTAGTTCTGTATTTCTGTTTTGATTTAGCTGCCACTTTCTGGTGTTTTCATATGAGCTCCCAAACTTACAATCCAGAACAGAGACAAATAAATACTGTCTGTTGTGTCTTCTTCTTCCAATATTTTAGAAGTTAGAAAATTTACAAAATAATTATCCTCTTGACCTCTTGTAACAACATTGCAAAAAAGAAAAAGAACAAGCAAGTGATACTTTCCAAAAATTTAAAAATATACAGCAAAGATACAATGCAATGGCAAATATCTGTACTGGTAGGTTTTTAAAAATTATTAAACAAGCAATCTGAAAATACAGGTCTATGATTCATAATCCATTATTCATTTTTACTTTCCTTTAAAAGGTAAACTTCAGAATCTTTAATAGATTTGCACAGAAATGGGACAGCAAGTATCTTAAGTAATAGATAATAAAATAATCAAGATGCTTTGCAAGATGATTTAATTATCTCCATACTTCCTAGCAAATGTAGTACTGCCTGGTAAGTACAGTTCTTGGCTATGATGGGCATATTCTCTCCAAACAGTGCAGGCAGTAGTGTTTTCAAGGAAGCTGGAGAACTGACCACATAATTCTGAAGTAATTTGGTCCTAACCTGAATTTACTAACTGCTAGGCAGCACAGCACAGAAGCACAGGAGGTCATCATTCTGCAATCAACCACGTTGGAGTTTCTGAGATTCCCTTCACTGACACTTGTCAAGAAAAGCACTTTCCATGAGATTTGCCACTGAGCCACCAGCCACGTGGGCTGGGAGCAGCTTCTGCCAAGCCCTTTCATCTTCCAGGTCAACATAAGAGAATCAGTCAGCACTCCCACGTGTGTCTGCTCAAGAGCTTCCACCTCCAAGGCAAGGAAACAAATCCTACTCCCTGAAAGCAGCTGAAATCCAATCTCAGATTTCAGCCTTGCTTGTTCAGAAGCGTCCTCCTCACTCCCTGAGACACCAGGGGTTGATACATTGGCAGGCCACAGCTGCTGCCTGTGCAGGTTACAGAAGGGTTAGAAAAGGCACACAGAGAACAGAAGGACACTTACGGTTGGCACAGCTTGATTAGGTCCTGGTCAGTCGTGCCTGGCGGAAGCCCTCGAATGTACAGGTTGGTTTTACTCAACTGTTCCCCGCTGCTGTTGCTGCTGCTGTTTGTGCCGGGGCTGGGAGGAGCCATGGGGTGGGGAGCTGGTGCATAGGACTGCTGCAAACAGAAAGAGCTGTTACTGGAAAAACAAAAGCCAGCACACCTGTTCACAGGCCAGCAGCACAACCTGAAAGCATGGCACACTGCTCGTCCTTTCCAATCCGTACATGCACACATATGCCTGAATCACTGTGCGGTGTTGCTTCTGAAAATATTGCTTGCTTTTTCTCGCTCTGGCTGTAGCAGTTGACTTAATGTAGTCAGCCATAAGCCGGACCAAAAAAGGTTAGCAGTTGGTCCCAGCAGTATGATCTGGCTTTTAAATTTGTCCCTAATCATACTGCCTCTCCTGCTACATGGAAAGCAGCCATGCTTTCTCCCTCCTTCATAAAAAACACAGATCAGGCCCAGCACCAAAGCTGGGACCAAAGTCCCTAGCTTACCATGAACAGCCAACCATTCCCTCCACAGAAACTTCCTAGTATTGTTTTTCCTTGATTTTAGTGCCCCGTACAATTCCTGATACATAGAAGTTATGCTATAAAAATGATTATATGAGTGAACGATAGCTATTTTTCTCCATTCTCAAAAGTGCTTCTTCATGCTGAATGACCCCTGCTTGCAAGCCGGAACCAGAATTATTTCCTAACACCAAGATTCCGTTAAACTATGCTAAGCCATGGTTTCTACGAAAGTATCATGGACAATCTGGAAAAATTTTTGTGTAGAGGCTGTCCTCTTTACTATAGAAGGTTCAAGAGTACTCTCAACTGTCATTCACCAGATTCTAGGAGCAGCACCCTCTAGATGTGAGTACCAGAAACATCTCTAGAAATTGTGAACCGTCCCTTCACAGAAAGAGATCTTCCTATTAGTGGCCACTGTTTTAGTAAGTCACACAATTTTATGTCACAATGAAAATGATAAAATGATTCACAGAACTTGTGCTGTGTGAAGGTTCTTATCTGTGTACATGCTAGAATTAGTACATATGTTTTCCCATTACACTTATTTCTGTTTCATTGCAGGCATAGATTCCAAACTTCTCAAATTGTACTGTCATGGTTGAGGTCCTGTTGTGTCTCTTTTTGGTTTTGTGACCTCTGAATAAGGATTTAACCTGAGATGTAGTGGCCTAACTAATATGAAAGGGCAGTAATAATACTCTTCTATGTAATAGGATCTTTTAAAAACTCAGCTAGTGCAAATAGAGTGCTTTATGGATATTAGTAACTACACACTAAAAAGAGCAGGAATAATAATAAAGTTAATATTATAGTTGGAATGTATCTGGTCAAAGATAGGACTCTATTACAAATTCCAGATTTTCTCAATGTATCACAGAATGTTACTCAACACACATCATTTTCCACAAGACTCCAATGGTAAAATTTGCTAGGCTTAACCTAAAATTTACTTTATCAGGGTGTAGTTATCAGACAGCAAGTTTGGGGCACAATAGCAAAAAGAAATATTTATTCAGATGATGTGAAAGTTTTCAACTATTTGTGCCATTGAACAAGGCCGGGATATAATATGATAACTGCTGGGAAGGAGAATAAGAAAAATTGTACTATGATCTCATTCTTTAAAATATTTGAAACCACCATAACCGATAGGTAGATAGATAGATAGATAGATAGATAGATAGATAGATAGATATAGATATGCTAGCTAAGTTCAGGAGAATGAAGCTACATCATGAAAATAGAGTTAATGTGGCCTTTATCACAGGTCCTGAACTCTTACAAATTCTGCAATGGCATTGTACTTAGCTAAAGCTAATCCTAGACTCACAGGGTCCTATTACAACTCTATCCGATTCTTTCTCTGTCTCTCCAAACACTCTTTAAACTGCGCTCAGTCACACAAAGGACCTCCCACCCTTTCCACGCATACCTAGTTCTACTTGGTTGGCTCTTAACCTGCTACTTTCAGACTAAGGATCACTCTAAAGCAATCTGGTGTTTTCCTCCCCGGCCTGCAGCATACTGGATCTCTGTCGAATACGTTTCTGGCTCACTTATTTAATACCTGTCTGTAATATTAACCTGGATGTTCCCTAAGTGTAGGGAACGTGTCAGTCCTACATTAATAGCACCTAACCTAGTGCCTGATAAGCAGTGAGTACTTAATAAATTTTTAGCACATATCTTGCACAATAAAAATAAGCTGTCCTTACAGATGCAGGAGGCCATGTGTTTGCAAAGCCTATCCTCATTTCTTGTTACAATACACTACTGCACACTTTCTAGGATTTCAGTTTTGCCCCAGTCCATATTTTCAAGTGACTTAAGACGATGCCTCTGAAATTCTGTATATCAAGGTATAGCTTATTGCACTCTTTCCATATTTCCCAATTCTCAACACCAATCATCCGTCACAGTTATCTCATATTTTTTATTGCTGCTATCATTTTTCCAGCTTCCAGGCCAGAAACTGGATGCTGGTTCCATCTGCTCACTCATTCTAAATTTCAGGATATTTGTGAGCCAACAAAATCTGAATTTCCATTTTTCCTCCTGGTCAGCCTGCACCAGCTACGGTGTAAACAGTTTAAGATTCTTCTTTGATCTCTTTTTGCCTCGTGCTTACATGTTTAAATGTTTGATTTATTGGAAAAGAGGCAGCAGGGATCAAATTGTCCAGGATAAGCACAAACTGAGGACTAATCAAGGAATGAGGAAACAAAAGCAAACAGGACCAGAGCCAAGCCCAAAGCTTCCTTTGCCTTTCTTTGAAATAAACATTTCGCTCAATCATCCCTTCAGGATGACTTAGGTTAACATCAATATGTTTAGTGTAGAATTTTACAATAAAATACACAAGAGAATGCTTTGTCTATTTGGATTAAATTCAGTGTATCCGTTGCCCTTTTGAATTTAGTACTTACATACAGTTCAAGTTTCTGGTATAAAAACCTAATAATTGTTTTATTAACTAAAAAAAAAAAAAAAAAAAAAAATCTGTCTCATGGCCAAAGCCATAGCTCAGCTGCACAGTGCCTGCCTGGCAGTGCAAGGTCTTAAATTCAATTCCAGGTATCAAAAATAAATAAATATTTTGTATCACTTTGCCTTTTTCCCAAGCCATGCACACAGCAAATGTTCAGTTTGTGCTTGCCGAAGTTCCTTCCTGGTGCCACATCTCAACACGGGTCACACAGGATTCATCTTTCACTTCCCTTATGTGCTTTATTCTCTTAAAATTCCCAAGACCTTTTTAAAGCTGTTGGCTTCCACTTTCACCTCCTCTTCAAATTCTTTGAATTCCATCCTCTGCTGAGGCTTCTTTCAAAGTAAGGCTTCCTTTAAAACAGTTTTCCAACTGCATAGCCCTTAAAACCACCAGGGAGTCAGAAAAATGTCTCCAGCTTTCTGTATCACAGATCAAATGGACCAGTTCAGACTGAGCTGTTAACTGATCAAATAAGAGAATGGCAGCTACAGCATAATCAATATGTGTTTACTTAATTCCCCCACCACCACTACCACCAGGGCTGTCTGCAAGCATTTCCACAAGCAGAACACCACTTAGTAAATTGCATGATGCCTAAAACAATAATGTGCCCTTCAACAGGCCCATCACATCTCACTAGGGAAGGAAAAAAGACAAAAAAAAAAAAAAAAAAAAAAAAAAAAAAAAAAAAGACTAAAATTGAGATGGAGACAGGAAACTCCTATACATTGAAATGAACTATGCCTTATATAAATGGGAGTAGAAGCCCCAGTTTATGAAGAAGGAGACTATTTCAGAAAACTTTATAAAGTATGCACCACCCCCAATATAACTTGCTGTGTCATAATGGTTTTTAGATTCTAAGTCTTCTGCTGAAGAAGGTGGGATTCTCCTGGAAGCACTCTACCCACAGCCTGTAAAGCACAGGATGGACGCCCTTCCTAATATGTCGAGGAAGCCTTGTGATTCCAGTACCAGTCAGTATTGCAAATCATGCTTGGGTTTCAAAAAATTATAAATTTCTTCCTTTCCACCCAGTTCCAAATACACATTCTTTATTCAACACAGGTTGGCAGAAGATTCCCGGAATGCCTGATAAATGCACAGACCTAAATGAATTAATTTGTGAGAAGCAAAGGCCATTAAATAGATTGCCATTAATAGATAAGCAGACTATAGCCTTCTCCAGAAAGAAAAAAGAAAGAATGAAAGAAAGAGAGAGAGAGAAAGAGAGAAAGAGAGAGAGAGGAGTCAGTAATTTTCTAGGGATTAATGGGTCACAGAAACCACTTTCTTAATTGAAGTAGCTGTTTCTAGATAGATTTTTAATTTTATCATTGATTAGCTCTTCAATCATTTTGAACTCCTGAGGGAGAGATTTTAAAATGTTAGCAAAAAATATTTTCCTTCAGATAAAATTGCCTTTGCTGGATTGCTCCAAGCGACAGTGGACAAATCCTATTTTGGAGCAGAAAGGACCTGCAGTCGGTGACTGAGCAAGGGGTTGCTATGAACTTGAAGTGTCAGTGTAGTTAGAGGTGGGGCTTTGGGTGACACTGAAGGAAGGAGAGGGCTTCTCTGCACTACAGTGAACAGATACGCAGTTTTCTAAGATGTTTACTAGTGGAGCTACTGCTGGGAGAGTCAGTTAGAAATTATAGAACAGGGACTAAAAACACTCAATTAACCATACATGGAGGAGCCAACCCCAAGCATCCATAGCACAGTCCTCTTTAGAAAATTAAATAAAATGATTTGGCATCCATTTTTGGAAGACAGCATTCTTAAGACAATATTTCCAGTGTGGTAAGTAATATTTTTGGCTGCTTGGTAAGCATTTGATATATTATCCTTACAAAAGCTCACTGAGGCAAACAACATTCCTCTGATTTTGCAAATGAGGAAACAGATACAAAAAGGCAAATGACCTTCTCAAAGTCACGCACAATTTTAGCCCACATTTGAACCCAGGGAGTTTGAGATCAGAGGCCAAATTGTTCCCCACCCCCAACACACGGTAGAGCTTTGACTACTTATAATATAGGCACTAAGAGACATAGAAAGTTCCTTGCGGTTAACTTTGAAGGATGAGACCGGCA